GGGGGCGCCCGCGAGCCTGGGCCCGCCCTGCCCTCAGGCCGTGAAAGCCCTGCAGGCGGCCAGGCGGGAGCCATCGCGCTGCTGCAGGCCATGGTGGAGGCGGTGCGGGCAGCGCGGCTGCGGAGGAGGGTGCCATCCACGCCCTGTTCAGCCGCATGCAGGTGGCAGAAGGAGGGGGCACCGGGCCGCCCGCTGGGCCGCCTCCTCCGCTGTGAGCTGGTCACCACGCAGTCAGGACGGACTGTCCCCTTGAGGAGCTCCAGGGTAGCAGGGCAGCCGCCCTGAACCAGCTGCTTGGTCGCAGTTTTGGAGGGGCAGCCAGGGCTTTCCCTAGGCTGGTGTTGGTCGGGGAGGGATGGGGTGGTCAGGGAAGACTTCATCCCGGAGGTGACTTTTTTTTTTGAGTTGGGAGTCTCTCTCCGTCGCCCAGGCTGGAGTGCAGTGGCATGCTCACTCACGGCCATCCCAGCGTTGACCCTACGGGCTCTGGCGATCCTTCCGGCTCAGCCTTCCAAGTAGCCGGAACGACAGGCACGTGCTACCACGCCCGGCTAATTTTTGATTTATTGTAGAGGCGAGGTCTCACCAAGTTGCCCGGGTGGGTCTCGAACCCACGGACTCAGGCATTCCGCTTGCCTCAGTCTCCCAAAGTGCTGGGATTACAGGCTGAGCCACTGAGCCCAGACAACATTTTAAAAATTATTATTATTTTTTGAGTTGGAGTTCCATTCTTTTGCCCAGGCTGGAATGCAATGGCACCACCATGGCTCACCGCAGCCTTGACCTCCTGGGCTCAAGCAATCCTTCTGGCTCTGGCGATCCTTCTGCCTCAGCCCCCCGAGTAGCTGAGAGTACAGGCGTGTACCACCATGCCTAGCTAATTTTTTGATTTTTTTTTGAGTTGGAGTCTCACTCTATTGCCCAGACTGGAGTGCAGTGGCACGAACTCCTGGGCTCCGGCGATCCTTCCGCCTCAGCCTTCCAAGTAGCTGGAACTACAGGCGCGCTACCACGCCCGGCTAATTTTTTGATTTATTGTAGAGATGAGGTCTCGCCAAGTTGCCCAGGCGGGGCTCGTAGCCGTGGGCTCAGGCACTCCACTCACCTCAGCCTCCCAAAGTGCAGGATTACAGGCTGAGCCACCGAGCCTGGTTGACTTTAGATTTTGAGTTGAAAAGAACTTTGAAAGTTCAGTCCTTACACTTTATTTATTTATTTGAGTTGGAGTCTCACTCTGTCGCCCAGCTGAAGTGCAGTGGCACGCTCCCGGCCACCGCAGCCTCGACCTGCTGAGTTCCTCTAGCGATCCTTCCTCCTCAGCCTTCCAAGTAGCTGGAACTATAGGCACGTGCTACCACGCCCGACTAGTTTTCGATTTATTGTAGAGACAAGCTCTCACCAAGTTGCCCGGGCGGGTCTCGAACCTGTGGGCTCAGGCAATCCACTCACCTCGCCTCCCAAAGTGCTGGGATTACAGGCTGAGCCTGACGAGGTGTCACTATGTTGCCTAGGCTGGTCTCGAACTCCTGAGCTCAAGCAGTCCTCATGCCTTGGCCTCCTAAAGTGCTGTGATTACAGGCGTGAGCCTGGCCTGGGAGGTGACATCAAAGGGGAGGGTACTCGGGCCTTCAGGCAATGGGTGCAGGAAGGAAGGCTGCTGGCTGCTAGCAGGATTGGTGGGTTGCAGAGATACCCAACCTAGCCAGCACGTGGCTGGTACCCAGGGAGTGGGCCCGTGGTGGGAGACGACAGGGCTGGACATGTGGGTGGCAGCAAGCTGTCTCTCCCAGGACAAGCTGGCGGAGAGGAAGGCACTGCTGCTGCAGGCTGTGCAGAGGTGAGTGGTGGGGTCTCCTCCCCTGGCCCCCTGGCCTCCAAGCACTTGGCTCACTGCCTGGGCAGGCCCAGCCCACCTGGGGAATAAGACATCCAGCATCCATCCAGCTGAGGAGGTTGGGTGGCTCAGGTCATAGAGAAGGGGTGAGGGCAGGACATGCAAAACTGCTGGGGTGATGGACTGGGGTTCTGAGACCCCCCCCCGGGGCCTGGCAGCCCCCCTCAGAGACCAGGTCGCTTCCCCCCCCAGCCAATATGAAGAGAAGGACAAGGCCTTCAAGGAGCAGCTATCCCACCTGGCCGCCCTGTTGCCCACCCTGCAGGCAAGCAGAGCTCGGGGGTGGGGCTGGGTCCCTCCTCCCCTGGCCAGACCCTGAGAAGTGTTCCCTTCCACAGGTCCACCTGGTCATCTGCTCATCCTTCCTCAGCTTGGCCAACAAGACCGAGTTCCTAGACCTGGGCTATGTGAGTCTCTCCCACTCCTGAGGTCTCCCCTCTCCGATTTGGAGCTGGACCAGGGATCTCTGGGCTCACCTCCTCTTCCTCCATTCCCATCGAAAAACGGGTTAGAGACCAGGCGAGTCCTTTCAAAGGACAGTGAAGCCAGGAAGGGTGCACAGGCCTCTCTCACCCGAGCGCAGTGTCTACTGGGGTCTGGCCATCTCCTCTTCTGTGGGTTTGGGAATAGGGAAGCTTTGTCTAGGCAAAGTCCCAGAAGAGGGTTGCAGATGCTTAGGGACACCAGGTAAAGTGCCCAAGGCAGACGTGCCCGGGGCCTATGACCACTTCCCTCTTCCAGGTAAAGTGCCCAAGGCAGACGTGCCTGGGGGCCTATGACCGCCTCCCTCCCCATACCATCCCCCCACCTGAGCCCTCTGGCCCTCACAGGAGCTGATGGAGAGGCTGCAGAGAATCGTCACGAGGCCGCACCACCTGAGGCTGGCACAGAGCAGCAAGGTGCATGAGTGGCCTGCGTGGGCTGGGGTCGGGGGCTTCATGGGGCAGTGGAGGCTGCCTCATGATCCCGTTCCACTGCCCAGATCAACAGTGACCACCGCGCCGAATTCGCACGCTGCCTGGAGCCATTGCTGTTGTTAGGGCCGCGCCGGGCGGCAGCCCCCATGGGTGGCACTAACATGTGAGCAGCGACAGGGGTGGGGGCGTGGGGAGGGGGTGGGCAGCACAAGGTCCCTGTCACTAGCGAGGAAGGATTGTCCGGGAAAGGCTGTATATACTGCCCTTCTCTCTTTCGGCCCCTGGTTTGCGGGAGCAGGAGTCTGGGAAGTCCCAGACATGAAGATGGTGGCAGGCCTGGCACAGAGTTCTGCCAGGGGAGGAGGGAAGGTCTCAGGACTGCACACAATGGGCACTGCAGCCCCCCGGGCTGGGACACCTGGGGCTGGGCATTCCCTAAGTAGCCTGAGGCCACAGGCGGCCTGATTCCTGGGCCCAGCGGAAACCTTGGAGGAGTCAGGAGAAATGTTGAACCTGGCATGTGTCCAAAGGCCCTGGACACCAAGAGGGACCCAGCCCGGAAGTGAATACGCCATGCACTTGGGACCAGCCCGGCAGCATCCTGGTGGCTTTGCCCTTGGGACTCTGGGGCCACTCCTGGGAGCTTTAGGAAATGATAGGGAGAGCCCAGCACAGTAGCTCACACCTGTAATCCCAGCACTTTGGGAGGCGGAGGCAAGAGGACGGCCTGAGCTCAGGAGTTTGAAACTAGCCTGAGCAACATGGCAAGACCTTGTCTCTACAATAAACCGAAAAATTAGCGGGACCTGGTGGTGCGCGCCTGTGGTTCCAGCTACTTGGAAGGTTGAGGCAGAAGGATCGCCTGAGCCCAGCAGGTTGAGGCTGTGGTAGCTGTGAGTGGCCATGAGCGTGCCACTGAGCTCCAGCCTGGGAGACAGTGAGATTCCGACTCAAAAAAAAAAAAAACAAAACAGATGGGCAGATGGGGGTGGGGGAACATCACTGAGTGCGGCCTTGTCTCAGGCTTTTCCTAGTTCCAGGCAGGTCTGCTGTGTTGCTGGTGATTGAGGGGGCTGTGAGAGCAGCAAGCAGCTAGGGGGTCCCAGGAAGGTGGGGGGAGCCACCTCACCCCACTCTGCATCCACACTGGCCCTCTCCCCAGGCTGGCCGAGGGCTCAGACCCCAAGGTGCCGATCGGCCCCCGCTGCCCCTCCCCGGTGGGAAAGATGTCGGGGTCATACCAAGGTGCTGCTGGCCAAGGGTGAGGACACGCCCTTCACAGAGCACTGCCGCCACTATGAGGACACCTACCGGGTGAGTGGCCAGGCCCCCCCTCCCCCATTCCTCACCACAGTGCACTGATGGGCAGATCCAGTTGTCTGGGCTGCCGGGCCTGGAAGCCACCCCTTTCCTGAGGCCTCCACAGCCCACACAAGTCCTCCATGGCTTCACACACCCTCACACGCCTTCACACACTCTCACAGGGCCTACACGGCCTCACTTGCTCTGACACGCCTTCCCCCAGCCTCTCACACAATCTCACACAGCCTCCACACCCTCACACAGCCTCCACACCCTCACACAGCCTCCACACCCTCATGCGGCCTCCACGGCCCATCCGGGCAGCACCTGCAGGTGGAGACCCAGAGTCTGAAGGACCAGGTACAGGAGCTGCACCGGGACCTCACCAAGCACCACTCGCTCCTCAAGGCCGAGATCATGGGTGACATCCTGCGCCGGTCCTTGCAGCTGGACGCGCGCATAGCCTCGGAGCACGCTTCCATGGAGGGCATGCGCGTGGTCTTCGAGGAGGTAGCCTCCCGCATTGGGAGACACGTGGGACACCCCAAGATGGGAAGGGGGAGAAACGACCTGGCCTGGTGCCGTACGCGACCCTGCAGCAGGTTCTGGAAAGATGTGGAGCCGGGTGGGGTGAGCTTTGGCTCTGAGTGGCCAAAGACAGAAATGCATTGGTGGAAGTTCTAGCTCACGGCCATGTCCAACGGGTGACGTTTCTCTTTCAGATCTGGGAGGAATCCTATCAGCGCGTGGCCAATGAGCAGGAGATTTATGAAGGTCCCAGCAGCTGACTGTGGTGTGAACTTCCTGTCCCGGACCTAACCCACATGCTGGCAGGCGAGGAGTCAGCCACTAATGAGACTCACAACCCTGTCCTCTGCCCTTAGCTCATGACTCTACCTCCCAGCTGCTATCTGGCCCCAAGCGATGCCTCTGAGGGCAGAATTCAGGGAGCAGACTGCCTAGGCTGCCTCCTCCTTAACGAGAGGTCGCCATGGAAACAGCTGCGGTATTTCGGTGGTGCCAGGCTTGAGAATCTGAAGCCAGTAACCTGATGCTCTGGTCTTGGCCCCCACAGCCCAGCTCCACGACCTTCTGCAGCTGAGGAAGGAGAATGCCTACCTGGCCACCATCACCAGGCAGATCACGCCCTACGTCCGCTCCCTTGCCAAGGTGAAGGAGCGGCTGGAGCCCAGGTGAGGCCGGGGGTGTTCCCAGGGCCACCAAGGCTCTTCAGAATGTGCATGGGAAAGGTGCCACACACTCAGACCCTTTGCAGAGATGTTGGCCACCAGGTCATGAGGGTTCAGTTGGGGCATCTGGGTGGGGCCAGACAGCTGCAAAACGCAGTCACAGGGAGTGGGCTGCCCTGGGCCTCTGCTTCTAGGCACATAATCGCTATCTCCAGCCCTCAGGAGTAGGTCAAAGCAGAAGGCACTTCTTGGGAGTGGCATGAGGGTCCTCAGCTGATCCAAGCAGCAGGACAGGGAGGCGAGAGCAGGAACTTCATCGACACAGGGTTAGGACAGCCAAGCCTGGACCAGGCCTTCTCAGTACCTGGCATCAAGTATTCCAGTGGCAGAAGGATCTTGGTGGCAGGTCTTCAATGTGTCTGCTCTGAGTCACTGGCCCCAGGGTGGACTAGTTGCCCTGCAGGTCTGGGACACAGCTATAGCCTGAGATCTCCCTCCTCCACCCTCCTGGGGACTCCCCCGCCCCACCCCATCTCCTGCAACCTGAAGTCCCTCTGCATGTTTTGGGGGAGCCCACCTCCCAGCAGTTTCCTGAGAAAAGGTGCACAGGAGGTGTGTGTGTTAGACAAGCACGGGTCTGAAAATGTCCTGCCTTTCCACCTGACTGAGAGTTTCACTGGGTATTGAATTCTAGATGGGAAATCCTAGACTGAGAAGGACTCTCCTTTGAAGGCATCACTCTACTGTCTTCTAGCTTACAAGGCTGGTGTTGAGAAGTCTGAAGGCATTCTGATTCCAGATGCTTGATGTGACCTACTAATTCTCTCTGGAAGTTTGTAGAATCTTCTCTTTGCTCCTGGTGTTGTGAAATTTCACATTGGTGTGGGTCTAGCCCCATCCATTAGGTCAGGTACTGGCGGGCCTTTTCGATCTGGAAATTCATAGCCTTCAGCCTTGGCATATTTCTTTTGGAATTAGTTGATTTCACTTTTCTCTTTTTGGAATTTCTTTTCTTTTTTTTTTTTTAAAGTCTCATTCTGTCGCGTAGGCTGGAGTGCAGTGGCATGCACATGGCCACCCCAGCATCGACCTGCTGGCTCCGGCGATCCTTCTGCCTCAGCCTTCCAACTAGCCAGAACTACAGGGGCGCGCTACCATGCCCCGCTAATTTTTGATTTATTGTAGAGACGAGGTCTCGCCAAGTTGCCTGGATTGGTCTTGAACCCGCAGGCTCAGGCGATCCACTCACCTCAGTCTCCCAGAGTGCTGTGATTATAGGCTGAGCCACCGATCCTGGCTCACTTTTTGGAATTTCTAGGGTTGGCTACCGGCCTTCCTGGGCTGGCCCTCCATTTGGCCTTTTCTGCCCTATTTTGTCTTATGCTTCCTGGGAGATTTCCTCTTTACCTCAAAACTCTTTTATTGAGTTGCTCATTTCTGCCATCTTGTTTTTAATTTCCAGTAGCTCTTTCTGTGCCCTGATTCTTCCTTTTTCATGGCGTCCTGTTGTTTCATGGACACCATATCTTACCCATCTGATAGGTTTTTTCCCCCCTCAGGTTTTCTGCCTGATGTCTGTTTCCTCCAAGTTACTTTTTGCTTGTGTGGGTTTCTGTCTTCCATGGTGAAGGCTGGTCAATGTCACATCCTCCTTGATGATCTGCTTGTACCAGGAGTGGGGTGGGCCGGAAGCTCTGAGTCCAGGGGCGGTGCTTCCTTGGAGGGGATCTGGATCTTCTTGCTGTTTTGGAAGTCCCCAGTATCTACCTGGGGTCCTTTCCCAGTTTCCTTCCGGGAAGGCCTCTCTGTGGGGTATTTGAACACACCTGATTGTCTGGTTTTCAGCATAATTCTCAACTGTGAGTTGTGCCCTTCCAGAATGAGCCCCTCAGACTTCTGCTGCCGTGGGAGAGGCAGCTATGGCAGGAACCTTGGCTGTTACCCATCCTCCCTGCTATTACCCAACCCCTGTTGCAAAGGCAAGGGGGCTGCCAGCTCCTAGGTCCTGATAGTTCTGCAGTGTGATCCATGTCTGGCCTCAGTTGTCTTGCTGTCAGTGTCCCACCAGTGTGTCTCAGGTCTGCAGAATTAGTCACCGCTCGCTCATGTGCTCTCTAGCTCCCAAGGTGCTGGTGTTACCCTCTCCTCTTCCCAGCCTGGAGAGGGCTTCTTCTTCTTGTCCACTCTAGTCCATTTCCCAGAGTCTCAGTGAGTTTGGAAAAGACAGGAAATGAGAGAGAGAGAGAGAGAGAGAGAGAGAGAGAGAGAGAGAGAGAGAGAGAGAGAGAGAGAGAGAGGAAAAATCTGGATTAGCAAAGGTCAATCTGGGAGGAAAAAACTGCTAAAACACTTCTTAAGGGATTCTTTCTTCTTCTTTTTTTTTTTTTGAGTTCGAGTCTCACTCTGTTGCCCAGGCTGGAGTGCTGTGGCACATTCACAGCCACCCCAGCGTCGACCTGCTGGGCTCTGGCGATCCTTGTACCTCAGCCTTCCAAGTAACCAGAACTACAGTCCTGTGCTACCAAGCCTGGCTAATTTTTTAAAAATTTATTGTAAAAATGAGGTCCCGCCAAGTTGCCCAGACTGTTCTCGAACCGCGGGCTCAGGCAATCCACTTGCCTCGGCTCCCAAAGTGCTAGGATTACAGGCTCAGCCACCGAACCTGGCTCTAAGGGACTCTTTCAACACGTCACACTGAGTGGTTAAAACCATCACACTCTGTACAACCTCAATGAGTCCCTGTCCACCCAGAGCAGTTGACATGTCTCCTACCCCACAGGCTGCATAGTGGACACTAAGTCCAGATGCTGCATGATCCCACTGACAAAACCTGAGACACAAGTAGAATGAGCTTGAGGTGTTAGCAGGCAAAACACTGAATGTCCTGATGTGGGACTGAAGGGGGACATGGAGGGGGCCCTGGGGTAGGGGTGACGTTTTGGGTGCTGCCTGCATAGGTTGATCCCGCCGCGAGCCTGTCAAGCTGTGCTCTGACCACCCATGCAGCTTCCCTCCGTGCACTCTGCTTCGGGGAGAAGCTGGCTTGCAGTGTGGATGGCAGAGTCACCATCTGTGGGATATGACATCAGCGGACACGAGCTCAGGCTCGTGGGGCCGGGTGGGGGCCCACTCTGCCACTCTTCAGTGCACCACGGCCTGGTGTCAGCGGCAGCAGCCTTGGGCCACCCTCCCAGCCTCCAACTCCACTCATGCGCCAAGTCTGTCCTTGTTCCACTCAGCAACCTTCCCGCTAGACCCGAGCCTCCTCTCTTGGCCTCTGGGTAACACTCATGAGTGTCACCATGTTTGTCCTCTCATTCTGAGACCCTCCCTTCCCTGCACTCCTGGCTCCCTCCAGCCCTCCAGCCTCTCCTTCCCGGTCTCGGCTGGTTCTGCCTCCTTGGCTCAGTACTCCCCGGGGCTCCATCCCAGGTATTCTCGTCATACACTCTCCTTAAGTGACTCCATTCAGCTTTCCGGCTTTAAGACCCTCCTGACACAGACGACCTCCAAGCACATACTGTCCCGAGCTCCAGACTAGCTCCCACTGCCTTCCGGCATCTCTACCTGGGTGTCCAAAAGGTGCCTCGAATCCAGCACCACCCAGAACTCCACATGTCTCCCCCCGTACACGCCACTCCCATGTCCTCATCTCAGCACGTGGCATCACCTTCATGCAGGTGCCCAAGCGGGACGCCCAAGAGGCAGCCTGGGCGCCTGCTCTCTGCAGGCCTGTTTCCAGCCCATCCCAAGTCCTGTGAACCCAACTCCCTGTCTCGGTCCACCCACTGTAGTCTCCACTGCTACCCCCAATAAAAGCTCCACAGTCAGCCCTCCCTGCCCCCTCCAGCCTCCACACAGCCAGGTGATGCCACGTGCTGAGATGAGGACATGGGAGTGGCGTGTACGGGGGGAGACGTGTGGAGTTCTGGGTGGTGCTGGATTCGAGGCACCTTTTGGACACCCAGGTAGAGATGCCGGAAGGCAGTGGGAGCTAGTCTGGAGCTCGGGACAGTATGTGCTTGGAGGTCGTCTGCGTCAGGAGGGTCTTCAAGCCGGAAAGCTGGATGCAGTCACTTAAGGAGAGCGTATGATGAGAACACCTGGGATGGAGCATTGGGGAGAAACTGACAGGCATCTTTCAGAGGCTATGACTCCTATCACAGTGGGGCCTTCCCTGCCCACCTCTGACCATGTTGGCTCCTCACAGCACCCTGGTCACAGTGGCCTTTCCCAAAGAAGTGAGGCTAGCTCCCACTTCCGGGCCTCTGCCTGGAATGTTCTTGCCTAGGATGGTCTCTTGGATCCTTGCCCCTTGGGCCTCAGCTTGAATGTCAGCAGAGTAACCTCCCCAAGCCACCTGGTTACAGCAGGTCTCCAGTTGGTGGCCCTGTGCCACCTGGCCCTGCTGTGCTTCCCTCCCTGACCAGCCCGTGGCTTCCGCGAGGATGCCTGGCCCTGGCAGAACTCCAGACCTCAGAAGACATTTGAGGACTCAACTAATGAAGTGCCAGGCGGCCCTCACATGTTGGCTGATGTTCGGTTTCTGTGCGGAGTGAGCCTGGGGACTACGGAACCTGCCCTCTCTCACCAGGTTTCAGGTGCCCGGGGAGGAGCAGTCAGAGAATCCGCCAAACATGTATGATGACAGCAGGAGAAGTGAGACCCTGGCCAGGTAAGCAGTCTTTCCTGCCCAAGCGCGGGCCAGTGACTGGGCTTCAGAGACCAACGGGAGGACCAGGAATGCTCCTATCTTCATTCTCCTTTTGGTCCCAGCCCACTGCTGACCAGTACTGCAGCCTGGGCTGAGCCTCAGTGTGCAAAATGAGAGGTCGGAGAGGGCCAGTCGCAGTGGCTCACACCTGTAATCCTACCACTTTGAGAAGCTGAGGTGGGAGGATCACTTGAGGCCAGGAGTTCAAGACCAGCCTGGTAACATAGTGAGATTTCCATCTCTATATATTAAAAAAAGTTTAAAAATTATTTTTATGTATTATTTTATTTTTTTGAGTCAGTCTCACTCTGCTGCCCAGGCTACAGTGCAGTGGCACGCTCATGGCCACCTCAACCTCAACCTGCTGGGCTCAGGGGACTCTTCCGTCTCAGCCTTCCAAGTAGCTGGAACCACAGGCATGCGCCACCACACCCGGCTAATTTTATGATTTTATTGTAGGGACAAGGTTTCACTATGTTACTCAGGCTGGTCTCAAACCCCTGAGCTCAGGTAATCCTCCTGCCTGCATCTCCCAAAGTGCTGGGATGACAGACAGGAGCCACCACACCCAGCATAAAAATTGTTTTTTAAAAAGAGGCCAGCAGGGCGTGGTGGCTCAAGTCTGTAATCTCAACACAGCTCAGGATTGCCTGAGCTCAGGGGTTCATGACCAGCCTGGGCAACTTGGCAAATCCTTGTCTCTACAATACATCAAAAAATTAGCTGGGCATGGTGGCAGCTACTTGGTAGGCTGAAGCAGAAGGATCGCCTGAGCCCAGTAGGTGGAGCCTGCAGTGGCCATGAGCATGCCATTGCACTCCAGCCTGGGCAACAGAGTGAGACTCCAACTCAAAAAAAAAGAAGCAGTCAAAGGAGCTCTCTGCCTGCAAAGTGACTTACACAAGAGACGTCCCAGGTAACAGGTGTGACTCTGATAGACAGGACCCACACCTGACTTATAAACAGCCATGGTGACTGCCTGCATCCACTTCCAAGTGACTCAAGTCACTGAAATAAAAAAGTGGCAGGATGATTCGCTGGAGTCAGTGTTTGCCCAAATACTTGCCAGAGGCAGAGAAGAATGTGCAGTGACACGCACGTCACTGTCACAGACTAGTCTTTTTGTATTTTGCTCTCAGTAAAATGTGTTAGTCACGGGCGGAAGACGGGGTTGTAGAGTCAGAGCTGGAGGAGCCTGGGGGTGTGTCACGGCGTGTGTGGCTGGGAACGCAGTGGAGACCCGACCCACCTTCCCTTGCATGGCAGCTGATGGATTATTCAGGACTGATACTTCTCAGTTCAAAATGTGCCATCACCATAAGCTGCTGAGACAACTGATCGGTGTTTTGGCAACATAAGACCATCTCCTGGCAAACGGTTCTTACTGGCAAACATCCCCTGGCAAACGGTTCTGAGATCAGAAATCTTTCTGGGATGGATGTGTTTCTGGTTCTGAGACATGGTCCCTTGCTGGTGCCTTCCGGAAAGGCTTCCCATCCTGAAAGCCCTGGCCTGAGCGTATTTTAGTGCGGGGACACAGTGAAGTGGGGGAGCAGAGTGGATGAGCTCATGGGAAATTGTCCTTTAGGAATGACGCAGCAAGTGGCCTGGAAAAGAGAGAGAGGATGCCAGAGCCTAAGGGAAGCAGCTGGACTCCGAGCAGCCCCTCAGAAGAGCTTCCACTGAGAAACAAGGATCACCACAGGCCCAAACAGACAAATGGGGGTGATATCCCCACACAGAGGGAACACCCAGCTTAGCAAACAGGACCGGTTCCCAGGGTTGAGCTTTAACAGCACGCACATCGAGACTGGGACACTTAAGGAAAGGGTGTTCCCATGATGGTGATTTCTTTTTTTTTTCTTTGAGGCGTCTTTCACTCTGTCACCCAGGTTGGAGTGCAGCAGCACAATCACGGCACACCACAGCCTCGACCTCCTGGGCTCAGGCAATCCTTCTACCTCAGCCTCCCAATAACTGGGACTACAGGTGCATGCCACCGTCCACGGCTGGCCAATTTTATTTTTCATCAAGACTAGGTCTTGCTATGTTGTCCAGGCTAGCCTTGAGCTCCTCGGCTCAAGTGATGCTCTCGCCTTGGCTTCCCAAAGTGCTGAGGTTACAGGTGCAATCCAGCCTAGCAATTCCCTTAAAAGGCAGTAAGTGATCAAGAGCAAGATCTATAAGCCAATTCTGTTCCTTGTGTTCACAAGGCACGAAGGCTTGCTGCCTGTCACAGGAGCTGGGGAGGACTTCCCAACCCACACGGGAACCGCTGAAGGTGTGAACATCCCCAAGAAGTCCCTCACGGGTCTGGCATCTGTGTGCCAGCTCTGAGGCGGGATGGGTGTGGTTCCAGCAGGGCATGCTGGCCTGAGTTTTAGGTAACAAGACTGCCGGCTGTGCAGTCTGACTGCCGCGAAGGAATCCAGTTTCTTCTGAATCACAGCCCCACTGTTGACCTAGTGTCACTGGAAACCTCCACCCCGTCACCTGAGCAGCGACTCAAGGAAAGGCAAAGGACCTTCGCCACAGCTTCTCTCCCCGCGGGGCGAGGGCCAACCTCAGGAAACCAGGGGAAATGCTGGCCAGCGTGTGTGGCAGATGGGCACCCTTACAACGTCACCACTTTCCCAAGTGACTGGAATGCGCTGTGTTCACCTTCTGCTGATGGTGAAGCCCAGTATGACAGCAACCGTTTTTGCTAACAGTTTTCCATTTCTACGCAGAGGAGCTTAATAAATGCTTTTGAAAAATCAATCTGCATGATCTAAAGCTTAAAATTTTTGGTGGCAAAATGATGCCCAGATAGTCACATTGTAAGCAAGTATCTAGCTTGATTTTGTGGTTTTGAACAGCAAGCGGCTTCTGCATGCCAGGTAGGCTGGCATCACAAGTACACCAGTCACATCAGCGCCCAGCGCCCCTGCCCTGCTCCTCCAGGGCACCGAGGTTCCCATTCCAAGGCAGGACTGACCTCCATGGCAGCCAAAGGGCAAAAGGAAGGTACACTACAGCTGCTCAGGACGAAGTCAGAGACAGAGTACTCTGCGTTTGAGGCTGCAGGTTCATGAAGTTTATCCAGAAGGGACATAACCTTAGAGTTCCCACATCCCAACAATCACGCTGTTGTTCATAGTGAAATCAAGTACAGTTTATTTTATTTAAGAATTGGAAAGAATAGTCAATATCTGTGAAAGAAAATCCAATTTAAAATATTTAAATTAAACATTTCTGCTTGTAAAAAGAAGAGTAGAATAATTACTCAGTTAAGTTTCTCTCCTCGCGATGGGGCAGGCCACCTCCGCTCTGGATGGCTGGGTCTCTAGAGCCCGTGGCAAGTGCCAAACCTTTTAAAGCAGGGGCCCGGAGAGGACGCGTCTCCCACCACAGCAGAGGTAAAGGTCTTCCAACCTTGCTAAACCACTACAAAAGCAACTACGGTGGGTGACAACTACCTAAGGCAGTGAGAAAGTGCAGAGTACGGGGTGTGCCGTGCCCGTCGTGGGGAACTGCTCCCAGCCAGCTGTGGTCGAGCCTTTCCGAGCTGCAACAGCTTCACCACTTACTGGGTGAGGAATGTGTTTCCCTGTCACATCGATCCTCCAGACTCGTAATGAATGGGACTAATAAAGTGTACTTTCGGGTGCAATAGGCAGTCCACGCCAGCCCGGGGGCAACAGGCACGCTGCCCCTCCGCCTTCAGTCCTGCCGAGAGGCTCACCCCGCTGCCTCTTCTGTAAACGGCCACTCTCAGCAGGAGCCCGCAGGCCCTCAAGAAAGGCATCACCCTACGCTGCTGCAAAGTAGTTTTGCTCTGTGTGGCACCCATTTTCCATTTAAGAATCTCCACTTTAAAGCCTGCAATGGAAAAAGAAATCTCTGGATAGTCTCTTACATTGCGGAAACTGGTGACATGGCCTTCACAGCGAATACCTGAAAAGCCTTTACCTCATTAACCCGATTCTCAGCCGTGGGCCCGCTGCTGCTCAATTTATAAAGCTAGAAATCATCTCAAGATCATGGTACTACATGAAGTCAACCACTGGCTGAATCCTGCCCTTAGATCGTTCACTTTTCATCCCCAAGTAGCCGCTGGCTTCTGCCCTGGGAATGATGAAAGGTGGGAATGTCCTCACCACCCCACCCCTGGAAGGACTCTTCAAAGCAGAATGCAATGCGGCGTCCCCACGTGTGAGGCAGCGCGTGGCTGGGGAACCCGAAGATCTGCGCCCCATAAAGGTGGGCCTGCATAAAGGTGGGCTCCCTGGCCCTGGGCAGATGGAAGATGGCGTCTGACACCTCCAGTCCGGCACCCAAAGCCGCCATCAGCCGCTTGCCACCTATGGCAACAAGACCGCCTCCTGGCCCCTACCGGGAAGGGGGGCTAGGCGCAATCCTGCCTAGACACAGGAGGAAGCACTTTCCCTCCAAGAGCTGGAGCCGGCTGTCACTATCCTGACTACACCCTGCCCCAGCCAGCTGTCCCAGGAGGCTGCGCTAAGTGTGGCTAAGTGTGGCCGGAGAACAAGCTTAGAGCTGATTCAACTCCGGGTCCCAGAGGAGGCGCCAGTCAATGTCCCACTGGGGAGCCACAAGCCAGAAAAATGGGCCTCAGGCAGAGTCCCGCCAGCCTCCCAAAGCGCGGGATTACAGGCCGAGCTACCGAGCCCGGCTGACCAGGCCGAACTTAAACTCCTGGGCTTCAGTGATCCTTTCACCTTGGTCTCCAAAGTGTTGGGATTACAAGCATGAGCCACTGCACCCAGCCTTTCTAGTTCTCAAATCAGCAAGCAACCTACCAGTCATCAACAAACCCATGAAGCCTCTTTGGTATATAGAGCAAAAAAAAAAAAAATTAATTAAGCCATGAAATCTAGAAATAAGTCATATTTCTGAGATGGGAAAATGCTTTTTTGAACATACATTTTAGGTATCTGACACAGTTAACCAAACGTCTGCCCATTTTGTGTAGTTTTTTTTTTTTTTTTGAGTTGACCTCCTGAGTTCAGGCGATCCTTCTGCCTCAACCTCCCAAGTAGCTGGGACTATGGGCACACGCCACCAAGCCCAGCTAATTTTTAAATTTTTTGTAGAGACAAGGTCTCACTATGCTGCCCAGGCTGGTGTGTAGCTTTTATACAGAACAGATTTCACTGATGTCTCCCCCTTATCTGAGTATGAGAAACATTTGATATTGTTCTTCAAAGTCCTCACAACACCCCTGTGAGGTAGGTGGTAAAGACCCCATTCCACAGATGGGGAGGTCTAGGCACGGAGAGGTTTAGTGGCTCCTCACAAGCCGCATGGCGGGGGCAGAGCAGGGCTCTGGCCAGGAGCCGCACTGCCTTCACATCCATACTTCGCTAGTGCCACCGCAAGCTGCACAGAAGGGTCTCATGCTGACGCCAGGCTCCTGTCTGGCCCATAATCAACCCAGGGCCTCGCTTCTTGAAGCTTCTGACTCCTAGAGCCGGCTGCTCTCCCAGACTCACAAAAGGAGAACACTGACCGGGTCTTGCAGGGTCCTGCTCTGCCTAGCATTCTTTTGGAGAGTTGCTGTGCATGAATTTGTAATTGTATATGCGCAAACCCCTTTGGAAAACAGTTTGAAATGACATTAGGGACAATGCAATTCTGAGAACAGAACACGGAAAACCAAAGTTGACAGGTTTACACGGAAACACTAGACGCTATGGTGAAATGCGGAGGAAGTGCCCAGTGAGTGGAGAGCTGTGCTTTGCAGTGGTGAACAACACCTCACACCGAGCAGGCATTCAGTAAGCACTTCTTGGATCAAAGAAAGGTGATACTTCTTCGACCTGTCACCAATGACAAGAGATAAAGAGCCAAGGCCCCTGGGAAAATCCAGTGGCCACGGTCCTCTTGGCCTGAGGGGCCGTGGTCACAAAGCCACACCAGCCAAACAGTCTGCAGGTGTCTATGCTCACTCGCTGCCAAATTAAGAGCTGGCGCTAAAAATGCCACGTGAGCCCCTTTGCATACTGCTACTTGTAAAAATAGATCTGCAACTATGACTCGGTATATGAAGAGCCTAAGCGTCATTTCAAGAAGCATCTTTCAAACCATATAGATGTTCATGCACTGAAGGACGGAAATAAAGGGGTGAATCTGCGCTGTTTGTGTTTTTCGGTTAACCTCAGGGTTTTCAATGCGTGTCTGACACCCATGAGCAATGATGCCCACTGCCCCTCGCCCCTGGAGAATCGACAGGAGAGCAGAGCCCACCTCTCCCAAGGAGCCCAGGATGACCCTCCCACACCACGGGGCATGGCCTCGCTCTCACTGGCCGGGCGGAGGGCACTGCTGATATTGCTGGGACTTGTCTCTCCTTCTTCGCTCACCCATGTCCCACCTCGACAGACGGCTCCGGTGGGGCTTTGGTCCTCAAGCCTGATCACTTGGCCTTGCGGGACAGTCCAGAAGAGTAAGTAGTGGCATATAAAATGGTTAAGGAAATTCATTCCACAGCAGCAGTTTGGTCCTGGGCTGCAGGGCTCAGAGGCCCCCGGGCACCGGGCCCTGCCCATCATAGCTCCACCTTGACTCCCTTTATGAAAGGCAGGCCAGTGGGCACCCTCTTCTTATACGCCAAGTACTCCTCTCCAAAAAAGTGAATTAATGAGATTTCTTCTTCCTCTATTCGATCACGGAAGAAGCGCCACACCGTCAGGGCATAGGCGATGCCACAGATGGGGTTACACAGCATTACCTGACGGAGGAACACCAAGCTGGTCAGGGTCACAGCAGGCTGACACCGTGTGCTTTGGCAAACACCCGTTTCAAACACCCAGCAGATTTCCATGCCCAGGACCCAAGAGATCCTCTTAAAATCCCATCAGGGTCTCTGGGAGGCTGGGCTCACTAACTGAAACCACATCATCACTGTCACCTTGGAATAAACACTCATCACTGCAGCCCTTTCCATCCACTCCTCTGCTGCTCCTCTTATGTGAGTGAGACCTAAGCATGACAAGGCACTGGGTGCGGTGGCTCATGCCTGTAATCCCAGCACTTTAAGAGGCTGAGGCAGGAGAATCGCTTAAAGCCAGGAGTTCGATGCCAGTTTGGCAACATAGCGAGACCCTGTCTCCACAAGAAAAAAAAAAAGAAAAGAAAGAAAGAAAAAGAAGGCTGGGCACGATGGCTCACGCCTATAATCCCAGCAAGCACTTTGGGAGGTCGAGGTGAGAGGATTATCTGAGTCCATGGGTTCGAGACCAGCCTGGGCAACTTGGCGAGCCTTCATCTCTAAAATAAATCAAAAAAATTAGTGGGGCGTGGTGGCACATGCCTGTAGTTCCAGCTACTTGAAAGGCTGAGGTGGAAGGATTGCCTGAGTCCAGAGGGTCAGCGCTGGGGTGACCATGAGCATGCCACTGCACTCCAGCCTGGGCGACAGAGTGAGACTCCAACTCAAAAAAAAAAAAGAAAGAAAAAGAAAATTAGTTGGGTGTGGTGGTGCATGCCTATAGTCCCAACTACTTGGGAGGCTGAGCCAGGAGGATCTCTGGAGCCCAAGGGTTCAAGGCTATAGTCAGCTATTTGCGCCAATGAACTCCTGCTTGAGCGACAGAGCAAGACCGCCTCTAAAAAACAAACAAAAAATAGAAAGCGCCAACACCTGACCCCCAAGACCACAGCCTAGTTCTCAAGCCTGGAAAGCAGCACCTCGCCTACTTCCACCAGCTTCCCACCTTCCCTCGGGCTGCGACCACTGTGCCTCTTACCTCCTTTACTTCAGGGTTCTTCCCCACCTTTTGTGAGTTGGGGTCCCTTACAGGCATGGTCAGAAAGTTTCTTTTTTTTTTTTGAGTTGGAGTCTCACTCTGTTGCCCAGACTGGAGTGCAGTGGCACTATCACAGCTCATTGCAGCCTTGACCCCTTGGGCTCAGGTGATCCTTCCACTTCAGCTTCCCAGGCAGCTGGGAATACAGACATGCAACACCATGCCTGGCTTATTTTTTTGCTTTATTGTAGTGATTAGGTCTTGCCATGTTGCCTAGGCTGGTCTCGAACCTATGGGCTCAGGCAATCCTCTTGCCTCCGTCTCTCAAAGTGCTGGGATTATAGGCATGAGCCACTGTACCTGGCTGTTCCTCCACTTTTAAGAGCATCTTCCCCACGGATGCAGCCAACCAGTCCTTCGAGGCCAAAATGCATGCCCAGCTCTTTAGGGAACCACTACCCCAACCCTGTCCACTGCCACTTGGCAGACTGATGTCCTAGGATGTATCTTCCCCAAGAAGATACTTCCTCCCACAGAAGTAGACTCGCATCCTACTTTCCTACCAGTGCCCATCTCCCGCTCCCGGTTCCATTATCGAGCACTTCTCATGTTCCCAGCACTGTGCTAAGCCTTTTACAATAATTAAGCCGCTCAATCCCCGTAGTTGACCTTCAAGGCAGTGCTACTATCCTCACCTTATTTTTTTTAACTTTATGTTTTTTTAGAGAAGGGGTCTTGCTCAGCCTAGACTCAAACATCTGGGCTCCAGCCATCCCCCTGCCTCAGCCTTCCGAGTAGCTGGGACTACGGGCACGCAACATCATGCCTGGCTAATTTTTAATTTTTTTTTGTAGAGACAGGGGTCTCACTATGTAGGCCAGGACTTTGGCCTCCTAAAGTGTCGGGATTACAGACAGGAGCCACCACACCCAGCTATTTGCACTTCAACATGTCAGGAAAGGGAGGTCAAGCAGAGAACGTCAGAGCCAGGCTGACCCAGCAGGTGACTCCAGAGCCTGTGCCTTCTGTGTGGCACATCCACGTGGCTTTCTGGGTGTCCCCTAGGTGGGTTTCCCAAGTGCATTACTGAACCATGAAATCATTCAGTTTATCATGAACTGTGATACAAATAAGACAGAAAACGGAGTATTTTGCACATAGCAGGGTGAGCATTGCTACAGAAAAGCCATGTCTATACACATGTGTGTGCTGGGGCCCAGTGTAAAAAACCCTTGGTCAAAAACGTATGAACAATTCTAGTCCTAGAGCACCTGGAGACACAGGAGCAAGCACTTATGGCAAATGACACCACTCGGTGATCTCCAGTGATCCCAGGGAATGGAACTTGTTAATGAGGACATTTTACCTGTCTCAGGAATACAGTCTGAAATTCAGTGCTATATGATGTTCCCCTCAACTGTACTGCTGGGGGTCGCCAGAGAGTCACCAAGGACCATGCACTGCTAATGGGAGGATACCTGGGGGCTCCGACTCAATTTGCCCAAAGACATGACGAATTTTCCAAGCGCTGTTCATTCGCCAGCCAAGGCTTTCTAGGACCAAGAGCACAGACTCAAGAGGCAGCTGTCAAGAACAAGGACTTGGCCGCAGCCTGAGACAGAACAAGTCTCTGCAGCTCCCATTAGCCTAGCACATGACCTTGGCCTCATTAATACCCATTTCTGATGAGAATCAGCTAGGCCGCCACAGGAGTGGTAGAGGGCGCTGCCTCCCCCAAGTCCCATCTCCGTCAGCCCCACGGGGCACCCCAGATCTAGGTTAGAGAGGCAGAGAAGGGGCACGGCAGGTGCGCTAACAACACCGAGAACCACCAAGGCTTTACGTACTTGGTGCTCTTGACTTTTTTTCAGTTAACACTTGAAACATGTCAGGGAGAACACGGAGCTATTTGAAGGAGACCAACAGCCTTGCGAATACACTGAAAACCGCTGAGTGGTATATTCCGAAATCATGAGTTTTATGGTATGTGAATTACAAAGATGTTTCAAAAAAAGGCCGAGTGTACTGGCTCAGGCCTGCAATCCCAAAACTTTGGGAGGCCAATGGGGGAGGATGCTTGAGCCCAGGAGCTCAAGACCAGTCTGAGCTACATGGTGAGACCTCACCTCTACAAAAATAATCATTTAAATAATAAAATAATAAAATAAAAAATGTAAAAAAAAAGATAAATAAAGGAAACTGGTGCCCTATTTAATACTATACCTGGGTTCCAATACTCCAGTAAAACCACCCAACATAAGAAGGATGCCGGAACCAAGCGTACACTCCACCTGTCACCAGAGTATGGGTATCTGATTTTTCATTTTGTACCACGTGGTTGAAATTGGAACCAGCTGTAAACATGGCTGCCTTCCTCAGGCATTCTCCAAAGACCACCATCAGCAGCCCGGTGACGCTGAGCCATGTGACCTGCTTCAGTTCTGCAGGGGAGAGACATTGATGACAAATGGAGAGTGAAGAAACTGGCCTACTGAGCTCCCTCACACTGTTTAGAATTAACCTATCTTCCCAAACAAGGATAGAAACATCAGAAAACATGCTCATGGGCAATCAGCATCTGTTATCACACCAAAATTTAACAAGAAAGCACACTTCCCTACGTTGTACTGTTCAATTGCTTACTTTTAAAATAAAAAAAATTTCAATTTTTTTTGTAGAGAAGGAATCTCGCTATGTTGCCCAGGCCAGTCTCAAACTCCTGACCTCAAGCAATCCTCATGCCTCAGCCTCCCAAAGTGTTAGGATTATAGGTATAAGCCACTTCACCCAGCCTCTATTTACTTCAAAAAGCCACCAAGTCAATTAAAGCCACCTGGGCCATGAACTGGTAATGGTCCGTGGCATGGCAGGAACCGGGCTGCACAGCAGGAGGTGAGCAGCACGCAGAGCTCTGCCTCGTGTTCGATCAGTGGGAGTATTAGATTCTCATAGGAGCATGAACCTTACTATGAACTGCGCACACAAGGACTCTAGATTGCAAGCTCCTTATGAAAAGCTAATGCCTGATGACCCTCCCTCCCATGGAAAAACTGCCTTCCACAAAACCAGTCCTTGATGCCAACCAGGTTGGGGGCAGCTGATTTCAAGCATCACGGCTAAGACAGTCTCCCCTCCCAGAGCTAATGGGCTCTCTGGTTCACATCAACCCCCCCCCCCCCCCCCCCCCCCGTCACATGCTCATTCATGTCCTTCACTTGGGAACAAGTACAGCTACAAAAAACGCAGAGATGGGCCTGGGGTTTCCACCCTGAATCCTGGAAACCACATATGTTTTATTTCATCAGCAGTGGAAAGTTCAGTTTTGGAGCAGATTCTTGATGTGGAGGTTTTTGCTAGCAAACTCTTCACACGGAATTTCTCAAGGCACAGAAAATGACTAGACCCAAATCTCACCTGACTGTAAATGAATTTACAACTATGGGACTTCATACTGCACTACGTCATGCAGGATTTAAAGTAAAAGGTCAATGCGTCCCTGATTCAAAATCCAGAAGCAGAATTCATGAGCGGAGCTCATCCTTTATAAATAGATTAGCGAGGACAGAGGTCTGGGGGAAAGCCCTCAGGGGAGATTAACCTGAAAGGTGAACCAGTGTCACTGCCCTCAGGCTGAGCGGGAGCCACCCTTCTCCTCTCCAGAGGGGAAGGTACAGGGCACTAACCTGGCCAACAGATATTTTCAAGTGTGAACTCTATCCAAGAAGAAAGAGCAGCTACTGTATACTCCAGGCTGTGATTCAGGAGAAAGGAATCCAAGGACAGACTTTTAGGATTATTGACTGCTGTCACCAAGTATTCAGAATAGTGGAACAAAGACAGGGAGCACATATACCTAGGTAAAAACAAAAAGAGAAAGAGATAAGTTGGGGCACGGGAACCAAGTCACCCACAAATGCAGAGCGAGGTCTCCTGCACTGTCCCTAATGCTGAGAGGTCCTGTTCTCACTGCCTGAGAGTGGACACCAGGCACCTGCCTGTAGCATTTACTCCCTCGGGTTTGCAGAACATGGGGTTCGCAAGGAACTATGTTTGTGAATGCCACAGGCAAAACATTCCATAGGTGAGGGAGGCATTATGGTCTCTTCAATCCTCTTAAAACGGCACTACACACAGGAAAACATGAGAGGGAAACAGCAACATAAAGCAGTGATGTATGTTGGGGACAAAATTGAACAAAACTGAAATAATTCCAGCAAAGGAGGATTAGATGGCTCAAAATGTTGATAAGAGGAGATAAAACTTTTTACCTTGAAGCCACTGGTTCATATCCAGGTCAGACTAGAAGGCTCAAGGGACTGAAAGCATAGTGTAGGGACAAAGCCTACACTGGCTGTGGGGTGCACTAGATGTGACCTAATAGAAATTAGAGATGAAAAAGGCCTATGAAGACAAGCCACAGCCTTGCCCCTTCCCGCCACCAAGGACCTGTCCCCCTTCCAGGAAGGGCTTGTCATGTTACTAAATGCTGTCGCTGCAGCTGAGGATGAAGGCACCTTTGGGGGCACACCAGGGAGACCTGCTTCTGCCTGGTACAGAACCAACCAACAGGCACAAGATTACGAGGGCTGAAATGTGGGCATCTGGGTAGAGGCCAGGCGCCTTCATTTCCACAGACCGCTAAACAGCCTTCTGCCAGCCAGAGATGACAGGGATGAGGAAATGCCACGACTGACCCTCGGATCTGTCCACCCTCGCCTCAAAACCGTTATTCCCAAAGTCCTTCTTACCAGCCAAAGTGACTCCAGGAAGACTGGCTAAAACTTAGCAGCATGCCGCAGCCAAACACAAAGCCAAGGAAACAAGCTCGGATGGCTATCTGAAAAGGACCCAAGAAAAGCTCAGTCACCCACCGTCCTCAGAGCACAGACCCGGGTTGCTGGCCTTCCTGGGACAGGCAGGCCCCTGGCAAGCAGATGGGGCCGATTTGCTCAGAGGCTAGCAGCGAGAAGTAGGGCGACCAGAGTTCAAATCCTGCACCTTCCCCTCTCCGGCTCTGTGGCCCGAGGCAAGTTATTTCACCTCTCTGGATTTGTTTCCTCATCTCTTCCGTGGGAATAACAACAGTACTTACCTTTCAGGACTGCTGTAAGTACTGCCCGTGTAAAGCACTTACAAGTAACTGCTATCTACATCTAGCTGCCATTATTATGATTCCTCTGCTGTTCTCATGCAGGGCTGGGACACTGCGGAAGCCTAGTTTGTCGGCGGGAGTCTCCCAAGTCGGTGCAGTTCATCTGGTCAGGGGCCCCCCGGACTCCATACCCAGCCCACCCACGTAACTGCGGGGCCTCTGGCCTCAGACTCGGCAGCAGGCAGTGTCCACACCTCGAGTGACATAAAAGAACTCGCGGCCTCGCCCGATGCCGCCCCACGCGCGCTGCCACTGAACGCCCACTCCTCGGGTGGGGGGCGCCCGGGAGGCAGGGTCCC